TTTTCTTCGTCTTTTTGAGGCAGGGTCTCCCTGTAGCCCCAGCTGTCCTGGAACTCACTATGTAGACCCCTGGCCTTGAACTCACAGAGATCCACCTGCCTTTGCCTCCTGAGTGCTGGGACTTAAAGGCGTGCGCTACCACACCCCGCCAGAAAGCAAAAATAATTTCCTGAGAGGCATGCGTGGTAGCGCATGCCTTTAACCCCAGCACTCGGGATGCAGAGGCAGCCAAATGGGGCTACAGAGTGATTCTATTTTAAAAAAAAAGCGAAAGATTGAAAAAAAAAATTTTTTTGTCATTTCTTAGTATGTATCAAATTAGTACATCTTTGAATTATATTTTAAAACTCTGAAAAACACTGAGATCTTCTTCATCCTACAGTATCATCTATTCTGCTAAGATTATAATTCTTTGTATGTTTTTTTTTATTTTCTTTATTTTTTTTATTTTATGTGTATGGAAATATTGCCTGCATGTAGGTAAGTGTACCCGTGTCATGCAATTCCCCCTGTGGACAGAAGAGGCCATTGGATCCCCTGGAACTGGAGTTACAGACAGTTGTTAGCTGCCATGTGGGTGCTGGGATTTGAACCTGGGTCTTCTGCAAGAACAACCAGTGTTCTTAACCGCTGAGCCATCTCTCCAGCCCCAATTCTTTGTATGTTTTTATGTGTGGTATAACATGATTATGCAGATGTGTCTGTGTGCATGCAAAGGTCACAGTCTAGATGTCCTCTTCCATCACCCTCTACATTACAGCCTTAAGACAGGATCTCACTCTGAACTGAGGGCTCACTGATCCACTAAGTTGTCTAGACAACAAGCTCTCCGGATCTGCCTGTCTCCTGCCCCCAATGCAGGGGTATAGGCACATGGCGCCATGCCTGGCTTTTTATTTAAGTGCTGAGGAATTCAAACTCAGATCCTATGTTTTTAGAGCACTCTTACCCACTGAACCATCTCCTCAGGCCCAAGATGTATTTTTTTCTGTAAAAATAAATAGGCATACCCATTTTATTATCAAACAAATTTTCTTTTGTTCCTTTTTTTTTTTTTTTTTTTTTTTGAGACAAGGTCTCCCTGTAGCCCCAGCTGGCCTGAACTTATATAGACCAGGCTGGCTTTGAACTGACGGTGACCCACCTGCCTCTGCCTCCTGAGTGCTGGATTAAAGACATACGCCATCACACCCGGCTTCTTTTGTTCTTAATAAGCAGTAAAATTGTATGTGTACCAAAGAATTATTTTTAAATAAATTGTTTCAGTAAATCTTTGATTTGCATGTCTACTTTGCATGTACATGCACATGGAGGCCAGAGGTCAAATCAAGTGTCTTTCTCCATCACTCTCCTTATTTTCCTAAACTTTGTTATTTTGAGTGTGTGTATAGGATGTGTACTCAGGCACTACATCAATCATGGAGGTCAGAACACAACTTTGTGGAGGTGACTCACTCTATCCATCCTTACATGGCTTCCAGGGATCAAACTTAGGTTACTGGAATCAAAGACAGGTGATCAGACTTGCATGGCAAATGCTTTTACCCGTTGAGCCATCCTGCTGGCCCCTTTCCACCTTATTTTTCTTTTGAGTCTTTCACTGAACCTCAGCTAACCTGTCTGACCAACAAGTCCCAGGAATTACACTGTCTCTACCTTACGTAATAGGCACACGCTGCCACATACAACTTTTATGTGGGTGCTGGGGACTGAATTTAGATCTTCATGTTTGTATGACTGAGCCATCTCCTCAATCCCTGCATATCTCTAATAATTCTTTGGCCACAGGACCATACAAAGCTAGAAAAAAAGAAGGGTGGGCTGGTGAGATGGGTTAGGTTAAGGTACTTGCTACCAAGCTTGATGAGTTTCATTTCCTGGAACCCACATGATAGAAAGAACCAATTCCTTCAAATTGACATCTGATTTCCACAAATACACCATGACATGAACCTCACAGTTGCTTAAGAAAACAAATTTTTCACATGTAATTAAAAAAAATAATGTGGGGCTGGAGAGATGGCTCAGCAGTTAAAAACGCTGACTGTTCTTGCAGAAGACCTGGGTTCGAATCCAAGCATCCACATGGCAGAGTCCCAGGGGATCCGACAGCTCTTCTGTCCTCCTTGGGCGTTGTACAACACAGGTGCACTTACCTACATGCAGGCAATACACACATACACATAAAAATAATAAATTTTAAAAAAAATTGAGAGCTGGCTGTGGTGGTACAATCCCAGCACTAGAGAGACAGCTGGGATATAGAGTGAAATTGCCTCAAAAACCAACAAAAAATTTTATAAAAAGGAATTATGACTACATGACTACGCGTGGTAAAAATTATATTTGAGCTGGGTGTGGTGACCCACTCCTTTAATCCCAGCACTCACTCCAGAGGCAGAGGCCAGCCTGGTCTACATAGTGTGTTCCAGGCTAGCTGGGGTTACAGGGAAACCCTCTCTCATAAAAGAACCCGCCCCCCAAATTATATTTTGTTTTTGTTGTCGAGACTAGATCACACTATATATAGCACAACTTGTACCTGAACTCATAATTCTTCCGGCCTCTGCTTCCCCACAGTATATAGCTATGGACCTCCATGCCTGGAAAAAGTTACCCTTGAATGAGAGGGTAAGATGGAAGAATAAAATCACTCTACTCAAAGCAAATAAGGAAAGCCCTAGTTATTCAACCATGACCACATTGTTGAAAGATGATCATGAGGCCAGGGGCAACTAAGAAAGAAAACTTAAACTACACTCCAATTTACTACTTAAGTTTAAAAAAAAAAAATTTCATATTTATTCAATTTTTAAATTTTTAAATTTATGTGTATGAATGTTTTGCTGGCAGATGTATAAGTGTACTCTGTGCGGGCAATGTCCCTGGGAGTCCAAAAGGGGGCACTGGATCCCTTGGAATTGGAATTACAGATGGTTAGTTTCCAAGTGGATTCTAGGAATGAAACCTGGGTCTTCTGCCAGTGTCACATCTCTGGCCTCAATGAATTTTTTTCTGTGTATGTGAGGTGTTATGTGTGAGCATGCACACGTATGTGCAGGCACCCACAGATGCAGAGGAGGGCATTGGGCATCCCTCTCCGTCACTCTCAGTCTTGTTCCTTTGAAACAGGGTCTCTTGCTGAATTTGAGGCTCATGGTTTTAGGCTGGGCTGGCAGCCAGAAAATTCCAGAGATCCCCCATCTCCATTCCCCTCAGAGCTGGGGTTACAGCTGTGCATAGAACCATGCTCTGCTTTAACATGGATGCTAGGATCAGAATTCTAGAGCAGCAAGCACTTTTATCCCATGAGCCCTCTCTAGCCCCTTCAATCAATTTATACTTAATAGTAAAAATAATTACTCCTTGAGTGCTAGGGCCTGGGGTGTGGTGGGGAACAGAGTAGACACAGGTCTGTAGTTTTGAGGAGCTTGCCGTACAGTATGTTTCCAACCACCTGATGTCATAAGGAAGGTAAAATGGAAGCTTATTAAAAATGTGCCAGTTATGGCATAGATGGTGGCCTTTTTTTTTTTTTTTTTTGGGTCTTTTTGAGTCAGGGTCTCCCTTTAGCCCTAGCTGTCCCGGAACTCGCTATGTAGACCAAGCTGGCCTTGAACTCAGAGATCCGCCTGCCTCTGTCTCCCAAGTGCTGGGATCAAAGGCATGTGCCACCATTCCTGGCTTGATGGTGGCTTTTATTCAGTTTAAATGGTTCCACTCACCTGGGAGTTACAGATCCCATGGGCTGTCTTGCACCTCCTTCTCCTTTTGGTAACACGACCAACTGGTTCCTTCTGAGCTTGGTCGTCACTGTTAATTTGTATCTCAGTCTCATCAGAGGAGAACACAGAAGTTTGATTTTCGCCCTGAAAAGAGAGACATTCATGTGCCATATTCTTTCTTGGTTGCACGTAAACTAGCAATTGCTTCCTAAGTCCAAAGTAACTCAAGATGTAAAATAAGGGAGCAAGAATAGCATTTTCCTTTTCTTCTTTTTTTAAAAATATTTTATTATTTTTATTTTATGCTTATGAGTGTATTGCTTGCATGTACGTGAGTGCACCCGTGTCGTGCAATGCCACAAAGGTCAGAAGAGGGCTTCAGATTCCCCTGGAACTGGAGTTAAGGATGGTTCCTAGCCACCATGTGGGTGCTGGGAATCGAATCCCGGCTCTCTGCAAGAACAGTCATCAGTGCTCTTAACCGCTGAGCCATCTCTCCAGCCCCTCCTTTTCTTCTTTTTAAAAAAGTTTTACTTTTTTTTTTTGGTCTTTTTGAGACAGGGTCTCCCTGTAGCCCCAGCTGTCCTGGAACTCACTATGTAGACCAGGCTGGCCTTGAACTCAGAGATCCACCTGCCTCTGCCTCCCAAGTGCTGGGATTAAAGGTGTGTGCCACCACGCCCAGTTTTTTTTTTTTTTTTTACTTATTTTATCTGTATGACTATATTGCTGCATATACGTAAGTGCACCCATGTCGTATAAAGCCTGTGGAGGCCAGAAGAGGGAGTCAAATCCCCTGGAACTGGAGTTATGGGCAGTTGCCGCAGCACTTGCATTTTCATAAACTAAAAAGTTAAAATGTAGGGGCTAGAGAGAGAGCTCAGTGGTTAAGAACACTGGCCGTTCTTGCAGAAGACCTGGGTTTGAATCCCAGCACCTATATGGCAGGTAACAATTGTCCATAACTCCAGTTCCAGGGGATCTGACAACCTCTTCTGTCCTCCTCAATTTCTGTCCTCTGTAGCATTGCACAACAGGGGTACACTCACATACATGCAGGCAATATACACTCATACACACAAAATAAAAATAAATAAAATATATTTTTTAAAAAGTTAAAATATGAAAGCAGTATGGTTAGGAGCCAGAACATCCAAACAGAACTACTTATATAAAATGTTGTTCTGAGGGCCTGGAGAGGTGACTCGGTTATTAAAAGCACTTACTGCTCTTCCAGAGGACTATAGTTCGGTTCCCAGCACCCACATCAGACAGCTCACAACCTCCTTTAACTCCAGCTCCAGAGGATCTGATGCCCTCTTTATCTTATATACCACAATCACCCTGGAGGGACTGGATATTTTTTTCCAGTATGGGGAATTGAATCTAGGTGTCTGACATGCTAGGCAAGTGCTCTACAACTGAGCTTTATCTCCAGTCCTTTTTCCCCTTTTTGAGATGGAGTTTTCCAAAGTTACCTAAGCTGGACTTGATTGCCAGAACCTCCTGTCTCAACCTCCAGAGCACTGGGTTACAGGTATGTGCCACCATACCAGGCTGAGTTTTTGAGAAATTCACACAAAAATATTACTAAAAACATTAAATACAAGGACTGAAAGGTATGTAGTTCAGCACAAGAACATTTGCCTAACATGCACAAAGTCTAGGGTTTGACCCCCTAGCACCTTGGAGACAGGGGAATCATATACAAAGAAGAAATAATGAAAAACAATTGGTTCTCCCATCCTTGCATTTTAAGTTTATTGCTAAGACTTAAGTTCAGTTGATTACTTGCATGTCCCTAGGGATTTATGGCATATTCCTTCATTTTCTCAGTGTTGTGTGTTAAAATTGGCCTACCTGTATTCTTCTCTATCATCTTCCTAATAGAATTATACTAGAATAGAATAGAATGTCACTGTTTTTTGGTTTTGGTTTTTTTGTCTTTTTGAAGTAGGGTCTCCCTGTAGCCCCAGCTGTCCTGGAACTCACTATGTAGACCTAGCTGGCCTTGAACTCACAGAGATCCACCTGCCACTGCCTCCCAAGTCCTGGGACTATAGGTGTGCTCAACCACACCTGGCTCAACTACTTGTCACTCTTACCTTTGCAAGCCTTAAATATATCATCAAATTTTGTTCAATGTAAGCAAATTTATCCCTTTACCTCTCACACCTCTTTTCTTTCCAGTGCTGGGAAACTGAACCCAGGGCTTCATGCATGCTAGGCAAGTGTTCTACCACTGAGCCATGGCTATAGCGCCCTGTTTCTTATTTTCTGTTATCTGGGTTTTTTTGTTTTATTTTTATTTTATGTATGTGTTTCTGTGTACATGTATTTTCAATAGAAGGTGGCACTGGATCTCCATGGAGCTAAATTATAGGTAGTTGTGAGCTGCTTGATATGGGTACTGGGAATTGAACTTGGATCCTCTGAAAGAACAGCATTTTTTTTTTTTTTTTTTTTTTTGGTCTTTTGAGACAGGGTCTTCCTGTAGCCCAGCTAGCCTAGAACTCACTACGTAGACCTCCATCTTAGAGATCTGCCTGCCTGTGCCTCCTAGCGTGGGAGCCCAGAGCTTAAAAAAATTTTATTTGAGACAGTGTCTTGATATGCAGCCTAGGCTGGTCGTGAACTCTAGATCCTCATGCTTCAGCTTCCCTAGCACTGACATTATATGCAGGTGCCACCATATCCAGCTCATCTGCTCTCTGTACCCAAGTTGGTAATGTTAGTTGTCTGTCACATAACCTTAATTATTTGTTTTCTAACCTATCTTGATGCTAAAAATGGTCAATCAATAAACTACTGTAAGTTGGCTTTTTGTTTTTAAATTTTCAGTTGTTTTCTGTACCAGTTCATTTACTTCAGGGTCATTTTTCTTATTTATCTTAGTGTTATTCAAGCTGTAGCTTTTCCACAAATGTTTGGTTGTTTATTCTAGGAGCTTGAATGTAGGAGGAGGCTTAGTAGAATTCTATCTACTAAGTTTTGCAGGTGGAAAGAGACCATTATGCCCTAGGTTCCTTGAATGTTCAAAGGCAACAACTAGCCTTTGTTTGTTAACCACTTATCCTTACTAACATTTTCTAGTATTTTAGAGAGTAGTAGCCACCTGGCACTCTACCTACTGAAGGAGGTGTTAAATTGCTTTGTATCCTAACTTCCAGTTCATTTCACTATGGAACTTGCTACTGATTTAGTTGGCTTAGGGTTTGGTGAGGCCTAAAGGTTGATTTATTTATTTGAGGCAGGGTCTCCCTGTAGCCCAGGTTGTTATTCAATGTAGAATAAGATAACCTTGAACTTATGATCCCCCATGCTTCCACATCCCCAGTGCTAGAATCAAAGCTACGTAGCATCATGCTCAGTTTATGTGGTCCTAGAGAACAAACTGAAGGCCTTGTGAACGCTAGGCAAGCGTTTCCCTATAGCCCCAGCTGTCCTAGAACTTGCTATGTAGACCAGGGTCACCTTGATCTCACAGAGATCTGCCTGCCTATCCCTCCCAAGTGCTGGGATTAAAAGCATACGCCACCCAATATCAGAATTATTTAGTTTTTATTTTATGTCTATCAGAATTTTTTAAAAGTTTCCCATTTGGGTGAAGACACTAGGATCTAAGTTTGAGGGCAGACTGGTCTACATAGACAGTTCTAGGCCAGTCAGGGCTACAATAGCAAGCCCAGCCTTTAAAAAAAAAAAAGTTGCCTGGGCATGGTGATTCATGCCTTTAATCCCAGCATTTGGGAGGCAGAGACAGGCGGATCTTTGTGAGTTTGAGGCTAGCCTGGTCTACATAGTGAGTTCCTGGACAGCTGGGGCTATAGGGAGACCCTGTCTCAAAAAGACCGAAAAAAAAAAAAAAGGAAATAAATGAATTAAGAGAGTATGAATGATAAATATAGCAAAAAATTTCTAGGCTGGGTATAGTGCTGCACACCTATAATCTCAGCACTTAGAAGGTAGAAGCAGGAGGTTTAGGAATTCAAGGGCATCCTCCACTACACAACAAGTCTGGGAAGAGCGTGGGCTACAGGAGAACTTCTCTCAAAACAAAACAGAAGCAAAAATTTCAAAGGAACAGGGATTTTTATAGAGTAGAAAGATGATCTCTAGATCCCACTTTCCAAGGACAAAAACTGTTTTTATCATAGAATTGATAGTCTTAGTCTATACATAGTTCTGGGATTTAGAGATTTTTTTTTCCAATTATCATTCTACATACCTCCCCACCACAATACCCTTTCCTCACAGTAGCAAAGGTCCTAAACCAATTATCAGGGGCCAACCTTGTATTTAAGTTACCTGCTAGCATGACTCATAGAAATGTCTTGTTTTAATTCCATGTACTTTACCCATACTGTTCATTTGGGAGTCTGACATCAGAGAACGGTACATACCATGATGTGCTCTAACATATTTGTCTACATCTAAGGCTAAAGAGGCACCTCTGGTTCAGATGAGGGAATCTTCAGCACACACTCAGACCTACTCTACATTCAGAACTACTTCAACTCATACATTTATCACTGATTTAAGCTGGGCAAAGTGATGTACATTTGTACTTTGGCACTCAGTAGGTTGAGGCAGGAGGATTGCCATGAGTTTGAAGCCAGCCTGGACTACAAAGTGAGCTCCAAGCTGGCCTGACTTATATAGAGTGAGACCCCATCACACAAAACTAAAATGACCTAACTAAGGAGGCTGATCTACAGGGGGAATTCTATAGTTAGAATTCTAGGTCATGCCAGACAGGGTGGCACATATCTGCAATCCCAGCCCTTGGGAGGCAGAGGCGGGTGAAGGCCAGCCTGGTCTACATAGTGAGTTCCAGGCCAGCTGGGACTGTCTCAAAAAGACCAAAAAAAAAAAAATGCAAACACACAACTGTGTACTCCCAGGCAATCATTTTGAGGTTTAAAGTTTATATAGCTCTCTCTTAGGTACATTTAATAATTCCCTTGTCATGTATTTGTATGCTGAATTATTTCTGTATCCTTAAATAAGTATCAAGACATTTCACTCACCTGTTATTATTAACAGATTCACCACTTAGGAATCCTATTATCTGAGGACAGGTGGAAATGAGTACAATACTCATATGAAGTTCTCTAAAAACTAAGAAATTTAAAAAAAAAACAAAAAAAAAAAAAAAAAAAACCCCAAGAACCATTTCTGGACCTGGAGAAATGGCTTAGTGGTTAAGGGCACTGGCTGCTCCTGCACAAGACCCAACTTTAGTTTCCAGCACCACAGCTCATAACCATCCATGACTCCAGTTTCAAGGGTTCTGACACCCTTTTCTGGTCTCCACAGACACGGTACAAATGTGGTGCACATACATAAATGCAGGAAAAGCACATAAACACATAAAAAACAAATCTTTAAACCACTACTACCACTACAACAAAAGCAAACAAAAAACGGGGTTAGAGAAAAGATCAGGGGCTAAGAGCACTTGCTGCTCTTCAGTTGTTTGCATCCACATGGTGGCTAATGCATGTCCAGGTCCAGGGATCCAACATTGTCTTATGGCCTCTGTCAGCACTGCATGGAAATAGTGCAGTTTACATACATGTAGGCAAAACATTCATACACATAAAAAATTTAAAAATATAAAAAGTAAAAAGAACCCTATATCTGACAATTCTTTTACCCTACCCAAACGGGATGACTTCAGATGCTAAATTTAGAATGACAGACCATTATCAGCTTGGATCTATCAATTACTACTTAAAGTAAATCTCTATCTTTTCAGTGCTAGGATCAAACATAGGGCCTTGCACACAATAGGCAAGCACTCTACCAATGAGCTTTATCTCCAGCCCCAAAGGTAAAATCTTTATTTCAGGAGCTGGAGAGATGGCTCAGTGGTTAAGAACACTGGTTGTTCTTGCAGAAGACTTGGGTTTGAATCCCAGCACCCACATGGCAGCTAACTGTCCATAACTCCAGTTCCAGGGGATCCAATGGCCTCTTCTGTCCTCCTCAGGCACTGCAAGACACGGGTGCACTTACCTACATGCAGGCAATACACTCATACACATAAACTAAAAATAATATATAAAATATTAAACAAAAAACAGAAACAAAAACAGCATTTCACTATGTGGCTGGTCCAAAACTCGGGGCAATCTTCCTGCCTCAGCCTTATGAGTACTCAAATTACAGTCATGCACTACCATACCTGGTTTATTGAACCAATGAGATGTCATGCCTTATCAAATCTTTGGATCTGAAGCAGGGAGGATAATCCCTCCCAACAGCATAGGTTTCAAGCTTGGAAGGCATTTCTCAGTCTCTACTTCCTTTGATCTCATAACAATTCAGCATAGAAATACTATTTTCATCTTAAGACTTTGTTTTCCAAGGTCACATAAAGGAGTGAGGGCTGAGGACATCATTCAGTGGTAGAACACTTGCCTAGCTTTGAGAGGCCCTAGGTTCAAACTCTAGCACCATACCCTCTCTATACACAAACACCCCTGGAGAGGCTGAGGAGATGGCTCAGTTTGTAAAGTACCTACAATGCAAGCATGAGGACCTGAGTCCTGATTCCCAGCATCCATGTAATAAGCCAGGTGTAGCCAGGTACAGTGAGCACCTTTAATCATAGAATTCGGGAGGCAGAGGTAAGCGGTTATCTGAGTTCAAGGCCAGCTTGGTCTCCTTAGCAAATTCCAGGCCAGCCAGGGCTATATAGTAAGATCTTATCTCAAAATACAAAGAAAGAAAAAAGGCAGGCATGATGAGTGCACCTGTAGCCCTAGGGCTTCACAAGAAGAGCTAAGTATATCCCTGTAGCTCTCTGGCCAGTTAATGTAGCCAAATGGTGAGAACTGGGTTCCTTGAGAGATCCTGTCTCAAAAGATAAGGCAGAGAGAGCAATCGGGAAGATACCTGATGTCGACCTTTGGCCTCTATGTGTGTGCACATGCAGGGACACACACACACACACACACACACACTCACTCTTTTTTTTTTTTTTTTTTTTTGGTCTTTTTGAGACAGGGTCTCCCTGGAGCCCAGCTGTCCTGGAACTCACTATGTAGACCAGACTGGCCTTGAACTCACAGAGATCTGCCTACCTCTGCCTCCCAAGTGCTGGGATTACAGGCGTGTGCCACCACATTTGGCACACACACAAATTAAAAGAAATGAGGGCTGCTACTTAACCTGAGAATTTATGACTTCAAGTCTAGTTTCCTTCTACTCCTCTCCTGCTATCTTTCAACATTTAACAACTTGTATTTAACTTTTGCTCTTCTTGGTTTTTATTTTTCAAGACAGGGTCTCATCAAGTAGCTTAGGCTGGTATTGAACTCCAAGACTTCCTGCCTTGGTCACAGGAATGCTGGATTTATAACCATGCACATGACATCCAGATACTTCTGCATTTGTTTAAAGGTATCTTATTCATTAGACTACATGGCATTTTCACCATTTATAACAAACAATTAAGTCCCTGGCCCTATTTACTAATAATGATCTCTGTAGTAATAAACAGCATGTCTTTCTCTTTTTTTCTGAGATATGGCCTGGCCTAGCACTCACTAGTAGCCTATCCTGGCTCAGCCTCCCAAATGTTGGCATTATAAGCATAAGCCTCTACCCTGGCTACCATGTCTTAAATCATCACTAATAAGTGCTAATTGTTCATTGACTAAACATGAAAGTTCTGCTAGCTAAGTGAAGAACATTACTCACTTGATTCTTATTTTCTTTTCTTGCTTCTGGATTCAGGTGAGCTTTCAGGGCTTTTAACAACTTGTCTGCCTATAGAAAAGAACAGTTTAACATCGGAGTGAAAAGTCAAAAAAGAAAGGTATGCCAAACTCTTTTTGCCGTGCTTATTAAATGTACTCTGATCAGGCTGGCAAACCAGAACTATGACATAGATAGAATTATATTTCACATCCCAGTGGTAAAGTCAGGTAAAGAGAAAAGATATTGCCAATACAATGGAGTAAGTGCTGTCAGGAAGCTCTGGCTGTTGTGAGTTCAACCACCAGTTTAGACTTACAGGATAGACTTCCACAAAAGATTAGACACCCTAGTTCTAGGATAGATGTCCTGGCTGGGGCTGTTGAGATCTGGAGAAAGGAGAACAGAGAGTTGAATATAGAGAACGAAATAGAAAAAAAGTGAGGTAAAGAAAGAGGGTAGGAGGGCTGGAGAGAAGGCTCAGCAGTTAAGAGCACTGGGTGCTCTCCAGAAGACCTGGATTTGACTCAGCACCCAACTGTCAGTTCCAGGGGAATCTGACACATTCTTCTGACCTGCGGGCATACCATGACACAAGTGCACTTACATACATGCAGGCAACACGTTCATATACATAAAAATAAAAATAAATAGTTTTTAAAAAAGAAAAGAGGAGGCCGGGCATGGTGGCATACACCTTTAATCCCAGCACTTGGGAGGCAGAGGCAGGGGGATCTCTGTGAGTTTGAGGCCCGCCTGGTCTCCATAGTGAGTTCCAGGCCAGCTGGGGCTACAGGGAGACCCTGTTTCAAAGAAAAAAAAAAAAAAAAAGAATATCAAGTTGAATAGGGAAACTCTACAGGGCCTAGGTTTTTGGCTTGGGCAGGTGGTAGAGTGGAGTGAGGATCCCTAATATTGAGAATGCCAAAAGCAGGGCCGGGAAAGAGGCAACTCCTCACCTCTCTTCCCATTCTAGGAAAGCTTCCCTTGTTCTTCCCTGAAAGATGAATACTAATCTGACTGGTCTTCCTATTTTTAAATGTCAACCTGTAGACATGCATGGTAATCTCAGCCTTGGAGAGGCTGAAACAGGAAGGCTCCTGACATTTCTAGGCCAGCCTGGGCTACAGAATGAGACTCCTGTCTCGAAATAAAGGCCAAATCATTTGTTAAGAGTTTTTTCCCCCTCTTTCACCCAGGTATGCATTTGAGGACCAAACACTTCTTTTAAGATAGAAAGTTCTTATCTTAAAAGCCCTGGGCTTGGCTCTTCTCACACCATTTATCATTTGACAGCAAAGACAGAATCTGAAATTTGGTTTGGGCTCTAAGTATAGAAATTTGGTTTGGATGTAAGTCTAAGTCACAAGATTAAACTCGCTCTACTAGTATTTTCTACACGAAGACACCCAAGTAGTAACAAAATGTACCTACTTCCAACTCACAACTCAGTGAACCTCACTTGAGGTTCTCTCTCAGAAGGGGGTGATCCAGGTTTTTTTTTTTTGGAGACAGAGTCTTATGTAGCCCAGACTGGCCTCTAACCTGGACAAGGATACCTTGAACTTCTGATCTTCTGCTTCTACCTGAGTGGTGAGATTAAAAACATATACATGCACCACTACACCTAGTTTATATGGTGCTGGAATTGAACCCAGTGTTATATAGGCAATCACTCTATCAAATAAGCTACATTCAAAGCCCCTAGGCATTCTTGATTACCTATGCCCCTTGCCCCCCAGGGTCTCATGTAGCCCATACCAGCCTGAAAGTGCTATGTAGCTGAGGATGAACTTAAACTTGTAATCATACTTCCTCCACTTTCTGAGTGTCGGGATTATAGCCTAGTTGATTTATGCAGTAATGGAGACTGAACCAAAGGCTTAGGCAAGGTGCTTAGGCAAGCACCCTACCTAGCCACATGCCTAGCCAGCCTTGTTTGTTTTTGAGACTGGGTCTTCAACTCATGATTCTCCTATCTCCACCTCCCTACTGCTGGGATCATAGCTTTGGGCTACTAAGACTGACAGTCTCTTGGAGTACTATCAGAATTTCAAGCATGCAACATGAGAAGTGAGGTGATTGAGGTAGAACCAAATGAAGACATCTAGCAGGTCAAATAAAATTTGATGAAGCTCAAGAGATGACAGGAAGTGAAGTGTTATTTATCAACATTTATTCATGTGCTAGACACTGTTCTGAGGACTAGAGAGACTGATAAACAAAACAGACAAGGCCACTGCCCTTTAGGGAAGTTGCAGCAATGAACTAATGGGAAAATAGTTCATTAACCAAGTAAGCTAGAAATAAATGATAGCACAGTTAAGGGTTATAAAACTACAACTACATGACAGAGGAAGGAAGGGGTGCCCAGCTGAGATGTAAGTAAAATTGCCTCCAATTTTACCTCCAATTCACCTCCAAGCAGGTGAAGCTGGATAAACAGTACAACCAGACCAGAGGTATCAGCACAAACCTGTAATCACAGTACTTAGAAGGCTGAGGCAGAAGCCTAAGTTCCAAGCTAACATAAGCTGCATACTGTTTTCTAGGATAGCCTGGGCTATAGAGTGAGACCTTGTTTCACACGAATAGGAAAAAAAAAAAGCCAACCAGAGGGATTAAACTCTGTTCATTAAGTTGGGGAACCATTAAGCACTACAACCCAGAAACATTCCCAAGTTCTCTTGCTTGCCATTCCGACAGAACCAAGAAGCGTCTAACAACTTCATTCTGTTTAAAGGATTTAAAAACATTTGTGATGACTGATTAGACGTTTAGTGTAAATATCATTTTGTTGTACGAATCTCTTAGGTATACAAATGGGAAGTCTCAACCACACCATAGAAGGCCCCAATTCCTTACTGAATTCCCACATTTTCTTGGGACACCTTGTAAACCAAGAATTCAATGCCTTTACCAGTTTTGAAAAAGACCATAACAAAAATAGTGATCAATATATAGACGATCATACTTAATCGGCGCCAGGTATCCCAATGAAAGTCTAAGAGATTATGGGCACAGAGTTTTCCAGACACCAATCCAATATTTCAACTGCCTAATAACCGGCATTAGACATCACATTCCTTACACTTTCTTGACCTGGGTTTCCCAGCTGGTAACCAGGAAAAGAATCATTAGTTTTTCCAATAAAAACAAATTACACTTTTTTGAGCAGAGGCATTTATGAGTTCCCGGAAAAAGCCAGCCTCAAAATAAAGCAACAACCAAGGCTTCTCTTTCGTCTAGCGAATTTTAACCATGTACCAAGAGCGGGACACGCCGCATCCCCTGAGTTCCCCAAGGGTGCCCGCGCGTTGGCGCGGTGTCCCCGGGATCCCTACTACCCCGCCCACCCAAATGTCGGCACCGGAGCCGTACCCTCAGGTTAGCGCGGAGGCCCAGACTCTTGGCTAAATTCTGCAGGTCACTATACTTGAAGGAGTCCAGCTCCTCGGCGGAGGGGACGGTCATCGCGTCCTGCAATCCTGACGACACCAAGACGACCGGCCAGACGACCCAGGCAGCACCGTTCAAAACTCTGGCGCCACTCTAAGCGGTTAACCAAGCGGCGCTTTATACTCAGTTTAAATGAATGCTGCGCCCCCATTGGCTGAGATGCCCCGGAGGCGGGGTTTCTGACGCTGGCCAATAGAAAGGTTAGTTTTCCGCAGCCGCTGCAAGCCAATCAAACACCCCCCACCCCCGGCTCCCCAGGCCCGCGCGCATTGCTGTCCAATGAGACACGGCGCCTTCGCTTGGGGCGGGGCCTAGTGTGTGTTTGAAGAGAGGCGCGGGTTTCCGGAAGATGGCGGTCCGTTCGCTGTGCCTTAGCCCGCGGCTTGCGAAGCAGTCCTCGAGTACTGAGTTTGGTGATGGCGCTAAGGAATTGACTGACGGACCTACTTTTTCTTTTGCGACCTCCACGGAGTGGGACACCCAGGTGGTGAATGGGTCCTCACCGCTCGGCCCCGCCGGGTCGCGGGTGGAGGCGTCACCCGTGGACCTCAGGCTCCCGGCGTGGCTGCAGCCCGAGAGATGTGCGGTGTTCCTATGCGCGCGTTGCCATGCTGTGCTCGCCGACACGGTGCACCTGGCCTGGGACCTGTCGAGGACCCTCGGGGCCGTGGCCTTCTCCAGTGAGTGGGCGGAGGATGGCGTCGGGGAAAGCCGGGCGGCCGGGAGGAGGGGCTTTCCCCGTTTGTCATATGCTCGTTGGGGAGGGAACGGGTTCGAAGATCTGGAAAGAAAAGGGCCAGGACAGGACAGGTTTTGATTTGCTTCCCGGAGCTAGGCATCGGACTCGCCATCTGGAGGGAGCGAGGCTAGTGCTGTCTCGCAGAGCCCCAACCCTTCCTAACTATTAAGGCCGGGATGAGTGCCTTTTCAGAGCTCGTGTTTGTCTTCTCAGGAGTCTCACGTAACGTCGTTTTGGAGGCGCCCTTGCTGGTTGGCATTGAAGGTTCCCTCAAATGCAGGTACGCGTGGAGAATTCCGGAGCTGGGTCTCTAGTCCGTGATTTAATGACTGAGGAGTAAGAAACTGACGCATACAAGGAGAAAACTTTAATTCTGTTGGTGACAGAAAGCAAGTTTATTCTATCCATACAGTATAGTTAGTTGAATGATACTTTTTTTTTTACCCGTTTGAATCTTATCAACTGGAATTAATGATTAGATTTGAGTGCCAGGCATGGTAGTGCTTGCCTTTAATCCCAGCACTCGGTGGTAGAGGCAGGTGGATCTCTGAGATCGAGGCCAGCCTGGTATACAAAGTAAATTCCATGATATCTGGGGTTACATAGTGAGACCTTTGTCTCAAAACAAAAAAAAAAACGAAAGATTTGAGTGTAAGTTTTAAGATCTGAGGACCACATCTCTCCAAGTAGCATTTAGTGATAAATAAAGAAAACAACGTTTTGTTTGTAGTGTGTTACTGGACATTGAATCTAGAGCCTTGGGTGTGCTAGGTAAGTACTTTACCACTGAACTCTATTTCCAGCCATAGAATAACAAACTACAATCCTTTGAGATAACTAGGACTTCTACAATTCTGACTTTAGCCGGGCGTGGTGGCACACACCTTTAATCCCAGCACTCGGGAGGCTGAGGCAGGCGGATCTCTGTGAGTTCAAGGACAGCTAGGGCTACAGGGAGACCCTTTCTCAAAAAGACAAAAAAAAAAATTCTGACTTTAACATAGAGTTTATGATAAATCATGGCAAGACTAACACTGCGGTCATAGAAACTGGGGAAATGAAAGTTGAATGTTAGGTACTTGAATACTGCTAGTACACGTTGTCTTCCCTGTACTAATACTTTCCCTATAACAGGAAAGTTCTTGCTAAATGTGTTCTCATAATGAAGCTAAGTTAGATATATACCTCCATTCCACTTTCCCAAGTGAAAGTTATTCACATTCCTATCCCTGTAAGATCCCCTCCTGCCCAAAGGGGACAGGAAAGGAGTGATGACCTATTTGGATTGGAATTATTTGGAGCCAAAGGCAGAAGTACCCTGAATTGACTAGAGAGGAACATGGTGCATCTAGACCTTTGCTGTCCAATACTGTAACCACTAGCCAGCCATATGTGGGGTAGTAAATTGATTTTTCCACCTTTTTTCTTTGAGATTAACAGACTATTGAATGAAAAGAAATTAAACTCTAGTTGACCTTGTTCTATTTAAGGAAATGCCAAAACAAAACACTTATATTTGCTTGTATATTGGCAGTAACTGCCTTAAGTCTTCCATTGTTCATGATCCAGTGGCCCAGGAGGCTAGATGATCTTAACCCTTTAGCATGGAGCAGAGTAACTCAAAACAGCTTCATAAAGATTTTCAGAGACTACCTATTGTGGTAAATTTCTTGAAAAAATTAGGAGCCATGAACTTTAGAGACAAAATGAGAACTTTTTTTTTTGGGGGGTCAGAAACTATGTTCTTTGGTTTTGTTTCCTCTTTCTTTAAGACAGAGTCTTATTTGGTCCAGGCTGGCCTTAAAAGCACTATGTAACTGAGGAAAGCCTTGAACTCCTGATGCTTGAATGGGAGATACTCTTGCCTAAGCTTCCTAGATGTTAGGATAACAGATGTATGCCACTACACCTGATAGGAGTAGTTGTTTTTCAGTTGTCCTCTGATTTTTCCTTATTCCCATACTCTGCTTTTCTGCTCCCCCCTCCGCCCCCAGCACATACAACCTTTTATTCTGTAGTTCCTGTGAAGTTCCTGTTGGCTTCCATCTCTATTCCACCCATGCTGCTCTGGCTGCCTTGAGAGGACACTTCTGCCTTTCCTGTGATAAAATGGTGTGGTGAGTAAACACAGATACTATTTATCAAGTAAGTTTTTCAGACCCTTCTAGAAAAGATCAAGTGTTTGTAACCAAAGATGATGCTAAAGGTCAAATACCATTTCTTACCAAAAAACAAAACATGGCAGTAAAGATAAAATACAGCAGTGCTTACCCTTACATATACATCCTTTCTAATTTCTACGGTCTGCAGAGGCAAAGAACTTATTACTTTTCTGTGTATATAGCACAGAGCCTTATAAGCAATTTGTGCAAATAATATTTTAAGAAAAATCCAAAGATGATCCCCACTCAGCCATTCCTTACTCCCCAAAGCCCTCTCTATGCTTGCTTGTTCTAGTTTGTTTCTCCATTGCTGTGACAAAACACTCTGACTAATACCAACTTCGGGAGGAAAGGGTTTATTCTGCTTACATCTCCCAGGTCGCAGTTCATCAGGGAGCCCAAGGTAGGAGGAACTCAGGGCAGGAACCTGGAAGCAGGAGCTGGAGCACAGGCCACAGAAGAACACTGCTTCCCTGGCCCCTGCACAGCTTGCTTGTTTGTTTGTTTTGTTGTTTTGTTTTTATTTTAATGTGTAGGAGTGTATTGCCTGCATGTATGTGAGTGCACCCATTTTGTGCAGTGCTGCAGAGGTCAGAAGAGGGCTTCAATTCCCCTGGAACTGGAGTTAAGGACAGTTTGTAGCTGCCATGTGGGTGCTGGGAATCGAACCCTGGTCCTCTGCAAGAGCAGTCAGTGCTCTTAACCATTGTGCCGGCTCTCTAGCTGCTCAGCTTGCTTTCTTATGCAACACAGGCCCACCTGCCCATTGTGGCACCACCCACAGTGGGCTGGGCCCTCCCACATCACTCAACAATCAAGAAGATGCCCCAGAGACATGGAGGCAATTCCCCAATTGAGGCTCTCTCAACCCAGGTGTGTCAAGTTGATACTAAAGCTATCCAACACACTCATGTGACCAATTTGAGCTACACAAAACCCTGCCTCAAAAAAATTTTTTTAAAGAGTTTATTTTCATTTATGTTGTATGAGTGTTTTGCCTGCATGTATGGGCACATGAAGGCCTGCTGCCCATGGAGTCTAGAAGAGGATATTTTAAGATTTATTTTTATCACCAGGTGTGGTGGTGCACGCCTGTAGTCCCAGCACTTGGGAGGCAGAGGCAGGTGGATCTCTGTGAGTTCAAGACCAGCCTGGTCCACATAGTGAGTTCCAGGACAGTTCAGGCTACAGGGAGACCCTGTCTCAAAAAGACCAAAAAAAAAAAAGATTTTTATCAGGCCAGGCATGGTGGCACACACCTTTAATCCCAGCACTCGGGAGGCAGGCAGGTCTCTGTGAGTTCGAGGCCAGCCTGGTCTACATAGTGAGTTCCGGGACAGCTGGGGCTACAGGGAGACCCTGACTCAAAAAAGAAAAAAAGATTTATTTTTATCATTTTAGATTATGTTTATGTGTGTGTGTAGGGGTTGTGCATATGAGTGGAGGTTCCAAAGCAGGTGTTGGATCCCTCTGGAGCTGGAGTTACAGGCAGTTGAGAGCCACCTGATGTGGATGCTAGGAACCAAACTCAGGTTCTGTGCAAGAGCAGTGCATGTTCTTAACTGCTGAGCAAGGTCATCAACCCTTGAACATCTGATCCAAGCTAAGGCAATCAGATTTTCTACCTTAGGAATTTGAAATGAGGGCTATATTAGTTGTCTTATTGCTGGGACAAAATACCTGACAAGAGCAACTTCAGAAAGGAGGGGTTTATTTTTGGATCATAGTCTGAGGACTATGGTGGGGAAGTCATGGAGGCAGGAGCAGGAGTTAGCTGGCCAGAATTATATAGTAGCCAGGAAGCAGGAAGGTGGCCTGAACTCACTATATAGTATATTATATAGTAGCCAGGAAGGTGGCCTGAACTCACTATGTAGGCCAGGCTGGCCTCAGTCTCACAGAGATCCACCTGCCTTGGCTTTTTTAGTGTTGGGATTAAAGGTATGTGCCACCACATTCAGCTATATCTTCTCATTTTTATCCAGTTCAGTACTCCAGTCCATGGAATAGGCTGTCCACAAGCAGAATGAGCCTGCACATCTCAATTAATCTAATCTAGATAATCTTTCAAGGCTTGTCTCCTAGGCGATTCCAGATTTGTCAAGTTGAAAGGGTCTAAAAATCCTTTGTAACTGGTACTGAATTTGGAATATGAAAGCTCTACATTTGGGGTAGCTATTTTCTATACTTTACTGCCAGATACAGAGAAAATATCTATTGAAAAAGTATAATGAAACCAGTGTAAATGGGGAGACATGGACACTGTCCAAAATGGAATGGCTCAGCAGTTGAGAGCAGCTGCTCTTGGCAGAGGACCTGGGTGCAGTTCCCAGTACCTACACGGCTACTACCAACCAACCATTACTCCAGTTCCATGGAATCCAATGCCCTCTTTTGACTTCCAAGGGTCACACATATGGTCCACTTATATACATGCAGGCAAAACACTTGTACACATAAAATACAAAGAAATCACCTGATGTGGTATAAAAGACAAATAAATTGCCAGTTATGGTCCAGTCCTTTAGTCTCAGTACTTGGGAGGCAGAGGCAGATGGATCTCTGAGCTACATAGCAAGCTCCAGGCTAGCTGGGGCTAAGGGAGACCCTGTCTCCAAAATTAGATAGATAAACAGACAGATATTTTTTCTAATTAATTAAACATTTTAAGTTTTGTTTTGTTACAAGAAATGGCAAGGGCTGGAGAGATGGCTTAGTAATGAAGAGCACTTACTGCTCTATCAGAAGATCAGAGTTTGGACCCCAGCATTCATATCCAGCTACTTACAAATACCTATAACTCCAGCTCCAAGGGATCTGTCTCCCCCTTCTGGCCTCTGCAGACATTGACAGAGACACCCATACATAAATTGAAAGAGAGAGAGATATAGAGAGAGAGGGAGGGAGGGGAGAAGGAAGAAAGAAAGAAAGCCAGGCTTGGTGGCACACGCCTTTAATCTGAACACTAAAGAGGTAGAAGAAGACAGATCTCTGAGCTTGAGGCCAGCCTGGTCTATGTACATAGCACGTTCTAGGCTAGCCATGGATACATACCCTGTCTCATAAAACCAAAAAAAGAACCTGAAATACCCATTAAAGTCTCTCTCTCTCTCTCTCTCTCTCTCTCTCTCTCTCTCTCTCTCTCTCTCTCTCTCTCCTGGTCTTTTTGAGATGGTCTCCCTGTAGCTCCAGCTGTCCTAGAACTCACTAGGTAGTGAACTCAATATGTACTTCAAGGCCTTGAAGTCACAGAGATCCGCCTCCCTCTGCTTTCTGAGTGCTGGGATTAAAGGTGTGCACCACCAGGCTAAAGTCTCTTTTTTTAGTGGAGGTACTAGGGATTCAGTCCACAGCCTTATGTGATGCTAAGTGTTCTACCCACATGATGGCTAATGGCTGTCTTTAACTCCAGTTCCAGATTATCTGACGCCCTCTTCTGCCCTCAGTGAGCATTGTACACACTCAGTACATATACATACATGTAGGCAAAACACTCATATACATAAAAATAAAATATTAAAAATGACCAGTACTCAAATATCCCATAATTTAAAATTTATGTTAAATATTGGTTCTTGTAGGTAATTGCTTATTCATAATGATTAATCTCATGATCCTGGTGTTTGCCTTCAGCTTTTTCCTGAGATAATTTTGTCTCTGGGAATGGGAAAGGATGAGGCAGAGCTTCTGTATTTTGAGAACTGGTTTTTCTAATAAAATACACTGAGTCTTGAAGTCATTAAGAAGGTAAGCTTTGCTTAATAGATACTTTAGAAGGCAAGTTTGGTTCACTGATAATGGTGCTAATATTTCCTCTCTATATTTTCTGTCTAGCTATCTCTTAAAAACAAAGGCCATAGTAAATGCATCTGAGATGGATATTCATAATACATCTCTACCAGAAAAGATTGCAGAGGTAAACTCCGTTGTAAAGTTACTTTAATGTACACAACTTTTTTTAAGTTTATTTTTATTTTATGTGTATGAGTGTTTTGCCTGCATGTAAGTAAGTACACCCATGTTATACAATGCCTGCAGAGGCCAGAAGAAGAAATTGGATCCCCTGGAACTGGAGTTATAGGTGATTGTGAGCGAGCATATGGGTGCTAGGAACTGACCCTGGGACCAGCTCCAATATAAACAATTCTTGATAATCTGTACCAGTGAATTTGAAGGTGATGAAATGGTGTGATACTCTAATAAGCCTTAATACTTTGGTATTCTTTATTGAATTTGTAACATAAAGTAATAAAGCCATATTACAGTCTAGGTCAGAAGGAGGGAAAACTGGTAACTACTTTGTATTCTCTATGCTGGGAAGGAGTATTATCATCTTACATAGAGCTGTTCTCTGAAAGCAACTTCTGTTTATATGTCTCAGAGGAAACAGTGGTAAAAGCATTATTGAGGTTTAGGGGGGACCGTTATTGAGAACTGCATCTATGCCCTTTGTGTAAACATGCTTTACTGCTGAGCTATGTCCTCAATATGATGGTAACCAGTAAGCAGTTAAGAGGAGGAAGCTGGCAGTTCCACAAGAGCAACAAGCTAAACCATAGACCAGTTGAAATTTTATCAGAGAGGGTTAGCGCTCAAAGAACAAAACTCAAACATTGTGGTTAAAGACTATATGTGCAAAGCATGGGACAGGAGTGGGAAGGTGGTGAATCTAATCAGATGAGATTTTTGTTGATCCTGATTTCATTGCATTTACCTTTAATTCTGTACTCCTGTTTAAAATTTAGTTATGTAAGCCGGGCATGGTGGCACAAGTCTTTAATCACCTCCCTTCGGGAGGCAGAGGCAGGCGGATCTCTGTGAGTTCAAGGCCAGTCTGGTCTACATAGTGAGTTCCAGGATAGCTGGAGCTATAGGGAGACCCTGTCTCAAAAAGACCAAAAAAAAAAAAAATTTAGTTATGTATATGTGTATGTGCCTGCATGAGTGCTTTTGCACCACCTGTGTGCAAGTACCTTTGGAGGCCAGAAGAGGATGTCAGATCTTGTAGAACTGGAGTTACAAGCATTTGTGAACTGCCATGTGGGTCCTGGGAACTGAACTCTGATCCTCTGCAAAAGCAGTAAATGCTCTTAACCACTGAACCATCTCTCCAGCCCCTAATTCTGTATTCTTTTGAGTTTTAAGTACAGCATACAATAGTATGCTGGAGTACTACTAATTTGTTTCTGAATACAGCTGTTCTAAGGTTTAAGGCCTCTTGAAATTAAACATCTTAATAAGGCAGAGCTAGTTTTGAGGACCATTAGAAAACATTAATATTTCTTTCTTTCTTTTTTTTCTTTTTTTTCTTTTTTTTTTTTTTGGTCTTTTTGAGACAGGGTCTACCTGTAGCCCCAGCTGTCCTGGAACTCATGTAGAACAGGCTGGCCTTGAACTCACAGAGATCCGCCTGCCTCTGCCTCCCGAGTGCTGGGATTAAAATAACATTTCTTACTGTTAAAAGCAACCATCATGGATCTGGGGGCAGAAAGATTTAAAAGGCAGTAGTCTGGTCCTCCTTAGGACCAGAGTGGAACAGTGTTTTCTGGACATGACAGGACTGCTGCACTCAGGAACTCGAAGAAGCTGTGGTTGCCTGCCCAAGAGTAAGCCGGTCAGCATTCCTGTGCGGAGGTAGGGAGGAGTTCATGAGCCTCCACCCCTAGCTATTGACAGTTTATGGCTTCTAGGGAGGCCCCTGTAGGGTGACCTAGCTCCAGTGGGTGGCTCTACAGCCAAGAGTATATAAGCAAAACAAATTGGATTCAGTAGGTTATTTAAAAAACCAAAGGCTGGGCGTGGTAGCACACACCTTTAATCCCAGCACTTTCAAGGCAGAGGCAGTCTGATCTCTTGAGCTTCAGGCCGTCCTGGTCTACATAGGAGTTCCAGGCCAGCTGTGGCTGCAGGGAGCCCCTGTCTCAAAAAAATAAAAAACAGGCCACAAACTTTTGAGTGGTAGGTGGATCTGGCAGGAGTAAAGGTGATTATGATCAAAATACATTGTATGCATGTATGAAATTCTCAAGGAATTTATATATATATATATATATATTGAAGCAAAGGTAGATTGCCACTGGAAAAGTATCTTAAATCTGAAGTGACAGTATAACCAACAGGTTGACAGCTGAGTATAAGATGCCCTCAGTCTCCATATTTCTCTTCCCAGATGAAAGAGAAGATAATGCTAATGCATACTCGCTTAAATTCACTGATGAAGATCCTGAAGGAAATGAATCATGATCAGTCCAATCAAGAAAACTGATCCAGAAGCAAGGCAGAAGTACAGGTTCAGAATTTTTTGTCATCTTCAGTAATTTCTTTTTACTATCTATTTTTAATTATGTGTATCTGTGTCTATGTGAGTGTATACCGCATGTGTGCAGGTGCATGTGGGGGCCTCCCCACTGCTCACTGGACACAGAGGGGCCCTGGGCACATCGGAACAGATGCTCCTGAAGAAGCATCCTCACTTATCTCCACACTGAAGAATGCAGCGTCTTGATTAACTTGCTTAAGGAATGTCACAAAAATCGCAACATCCTGAAATTTTTTGGTCATTGCAATGCTCTTGATCCTGAGATGAGATGTTTGAAGAATGAGTACATGGAAAAGAGGACCAGGAGCAGGGAGCATGGGGATGCAGTGCAAAAGAGGCCTTTCAGTCTTCCAGAAGAACCTGAAAATTAGGTTATTGCTTCACTGGATGCCTCAGCTGAGAGAAGCTCTTCAGGACTGTTGGTTGATAGCTCCAGGAATCCTTTCTATTCGATTTCCAGGGTTCTTTCAGTGAAAACTGGTCCATGGAGAACCGAACAATGGGGAGCTATGGTAACCTGGATCCTCAGTGCTGTCTACATCTCCTTAGTACTAGGTTTCCTCTTTCAAATAATATAATTTGACATTTTAAAACAAAAAGATGGATGCCAGATGTGTTTATGAATGCCTCCAATCCCAGCAATTGGGAGGTGGAGGTAGGAAGAGCAGAAGTTCAAGCTCACCCTTTGATACATACCAAATTTAAGACCAACCTGGGCTTCATGAAATCTTGTCCCAAACACCCATTCCCCAACAAAAATCATTTTAGAGTCTACCTTTGAGCATGTGCTTTTCCTCAGCTCATCAGCCCACTCTATTCTTGGAAGCATTTTTCTTAACCTTTCTGTATTTGTTACTTAAATTATTTTAGTATATTGATTTTATAATAACCTGTCTGAAAACATTTCACTGCTAATTACAGATTTACATGCAATATCTCTATGTCCATTGAGCTCAAGATGCATTATTGGTCAGTAAATAGTTGAGGTTAATGATGGTATTCCTACATGGAGCAGTTATATGAATATTGGTAAATCATTTTTCCTTCTGTAAAATAGATGTATCATATTCTAATAGTTAATACATTGAATAAATTGTATAATATACAATTTGTGGCTTTTTGTGATTTTTGTTTTTTTTGACTTTTCAAGACAGGGTCCCACTCTGTAGTCCTTGCCTGGCCTCCATAAAATTCCCTACATTGACCACTCAGACACTGAGTCTCAGTAAAATGGAGTGCTTTATTGAGGCCAACCAGTTGGGGACACAGACAGTCTCGGGAGCTGCCCTGCGACCCCAAACAGTGAAATCGAGGAGCTTTTAAGCAGAAAAACCACAAAGCCGGGAGTTTCCATAGAAACTATACACAGAATAGTCAAGAAAGGAACAATCTAGGGCTGATTTCCAGGCTTTTATCTGTACAGTTATTGGCTGTCTCACCTGGGGCAGAACGTCCTCTCTCTTCTGCCCCAGATCATTCCCATAGAGACCATACACAGATGTACCAAGTATACTGTCATTGGCTAGCTCAGAACATTTTTTCTTTTCTGCCCCAGACCATTCCCATTGAAACCAGGAAAGGGTTTAAACAATGAAGGGGATTTTCAGAGTCAGGTGTAAGGCAGCTTTTTTTCTTAGAGGATAGGGAAGGGGGTCTGCGAGGCGTTTTCCTTCAGCCTCAAATCTCACAGAGATCCACCCGACTATTGGAATTAAAGATGCATACCACAATGCTCAGGTTTTTGTGTATTTTGAGACAAGTCTGAAACTTGCTGTGTAGCAGAGGATCTTGAACTCCTGATCCTCCTGCTTCTACCTCCCAGATGCTAAGATTACAGGTATGTGCTGCCATGTCAGCTTCAATTTGTTTTTCTGTTGTAAACTACATTTAATGGTAATAATGAATGTAATATATCATTCACTGAAGTGATTGGGCTGGAGGGTTTATAATATCAAGTAATTTTAGGGTTTTTTTGTTTTTTTAGTCTCCCTGTAGTCCTAGCTGGCCTGGACCTCGGAGATCTGCCTGCCTCTGTCTCCCAAGTGAGTGCTTGGATTGAAGGCAAGCACCACCCAGCCAGCTAGGCAACAATGTGATTTAAGCATATGAAATTAGGACTATTAGGCCAGGCATAGTGGCGCATGCCTTTAGTCCCAGCACTTGGGAGGCAGAGGCAGGAGGATCTCTGTGAGTTCAAGGCTGGCCTGGTCTACACACTGAGTTCCAGGCCAGCTGGGGCTACAGGGAGACCCTGACTCAAAAAAGACAAAAAAAAAATGAAATTAGGTGTGGGAAGTGAGCACAGCCGAGCCAGCCAAAGATGGAGCCCTGGCTGGCTGCCAAACCTCGTGCTGTTTACTTCAACTCTTGGCTGATTGCCAAGGCTCGTGAATCCCGCTTGTTTACCCCAACTCTGAAGTATGGTGAGCCCAAAAACAGGTGCTGCCAGCCTGATGATCTTGCTACGTGACTAACGAGCTGCACTATGCCTGGCCGCTGCACGTATGTGAGCCCTGATTGGTCCTGAATGGGGGAAGGGCTGTTGGAAACACTATATAAAGAGCTGATGTGTGTAATAAGCAGAGACAGCATCATAGTGGGTGAAATAATGAAGAGAATATGAGAGAGAATAAGAGAGAATAAAGGAAGA